TGAACTGCGGGTTGGGGGGCAGATACACAACCCTGACACCTCCAGGTAAGAACAGCCCAGGCAGATTTGGGAGGGCCTGGAGCCCCAGAGCAAGGGGCATCTGGGCTCCCCACCTCCATTCGACTGCACCCGGAGGCTCCCAAGCACTCGATGGTCCTCGCGCCAAGCAGACGCCACCCACGGCACCATCAGCTGCAGGAGCGGCCTGAGCCCCGGGTTCCAGCTGACAGTGCTTCCCCGGAGATGGCTCCGAGGCACCGCTGGCCCCGAAACTCCTGCCAAGCATCCTCTTTGCTTTCCTTTCAGAAGAGAATTCCGGCTCTGACTCCGACTGAAGACCCGACCTGCCCTGGCAGCCTGAGCCACGCAGGCCTCCGCTCCTGCACCTCCTGACCATGCTGGCCGGAGTGTGGCCAGGGGACTGCGCATGTTGGGAGGGAGGCTGTGACTTCTCGCGTAGCAGCGGGAGTTGCTGACGGAGCAGGCCTCCTCACAGCCCCAGGGTGACGTTCCTGAGCCCGGCATACATGATGGCACCCCTTGGCTTAGCACTCTCCAGCCTCTCTGCTCGTGAGGGCATCGTTCTGCCACTTCTCATTTCTGTCCCACAGACCTTAAGCCCTTGAACCTCTGCCAAAAATAAGCACAAGGGGACAAAGCAGATAGAGCCTTGTTATACCATTGCAGGAAGCACTTCATGCTGTGGTGAGTGCGGGGGAGAGACAAGACAGAAACCGGCGGAGGGCCATCCCTGGGCCCCAGCGGCTTCTGTCTGCATCTGGTGCCCCTGCTCATGGCAGGCATTTTGTTGAGAACGACGCTTCCAAGATTCTTTTGTTCAAGGAGCAACAGTTCCCTCTTCATTCTTTTTGTGTGTGTGTGTGTGTTACGTGGGCCTCTCACTGCTGTGGCCTCTCCCGTTGCAGAGCATAGGCTCCGGAAGCGCAGGCTCAGCGGCCATGGCTCACGGGCCCAGCCGCTCTGCGGCACGTGGGATCTTCCCGGACCGGGGCACGAACCCGCGTCCCCTGCATCGGCAGGCGGACTCTCAACCACTGCGCCACCAGGGAAGCCCCCCTCTTCATTCTTGAAGCAGGGAGAAATCTGGCCTTTGCTGTATGACCTAGGAGAGAGTGGGTCCCAGTGCCCATGAGTGATACTTTACACCCTTGGAGACCATATCTTCTTCAGATGACATGCCTATTCTGGGTCGAAGACTGTTTCAAGAAGAGCTCGTAGACTAGCTTACCAGGTCCAAGAGATCGAGGGCTCCAAACGACGAAGTGGCAGTGACAGCCCCCAGGGCAGCTGGGCAGGCCCAGCCAAACCCTGTCTTTCCTTGGGCCATCAGCAGGCCAGAGGCTCTCGGGCCCTCAGGACAATGTGCTTCTGAACACCTGACCCTCACGAGGGGCGAGACGTGCCTTCTGTATTCACCTAAGGACCTTATTATGCTGTGCATGTATCTTCAATGGGATTTTGTAACTTTATAATTTTTTTTTTTTTTTTTACACAAAAGCAGCTCCTTAAATGGCATTTCCTGTGACCCAAGAGGCCTTGTGAGTGAGCCAGAGCTCTGAACCCATGTTTTGGACATTTGTAGTCTTTGTTCTTCTCTTGCATGTGAATCTCCTACCCCGACAAAAAGCCATAATGGATTAAATCAGACTGACTTCCTGCTTGGAGTGTGTGTGTTTGAAAAAAACCTTACACACCCGGAGCAACGCTGCCGGGTCTCATGCGTCAGCACAGAGTGGTCCCACGCGCTGTGTAGATCCTGGCAGCTCCAGGTTACAGCAGTGACGCACGCGCACTTGTTCCCCGCCAGGCGCCCGCTAGGCGTCGGCCCGTTTACTCTACACCTCACACAATCCTCTTTCACAGTTCAGGAAACTGATGGAAGGTTCGGTGACTTGCCCAGGTCCTCACAAGAGGCCCAGGGTCTCACCCACGCATCAGGCTCACGTCCCGTGGTAAGTCAGCGCTTTGGCCCCGGCGATGGAAAAGGATCGAGGCATTCTGCCCCAACTTTCACACACAGTGCGTTCTGAAAACACGTATGAAAGTCGACTGTGCAGAAGCCAACGGGCCTGTGGGTGTGGCCCCACCTCGCCAGGCCCAGCCAAGCCGCCTGTGGACAGCAACACTGCGGAGTCCTCACCCCCAACTGTGGCTGTGTTCAACCCCTGCCCTACGGGCCTGTTTCAGGATCCGGGCCACAGCCTTTGAAGGGGCGGGAGGCAAGGCAGAGCAAAGAAGGAGATGACAGTGTTTTTACATGTGCGTTTATTAAACAAGAACTCCTTCATGACAATTTAATACAGTATTTATTAGCGATTAGTGTTGAGAAAATTATTTCCCTCTACATACAAAAATACAGATTTGAACACTATGAAAACAATCAGGACAAGTACGGTGAAAAATTGGTCCTTCAAAAGAAATAAAGAGGGAAAACTGAGGGCAGCACAAGGCTTTGTCTGCTGTCAGGGACAAACCAACAGGAGCAAAGGCTTTGGGGCCCCAAAACCACTCCAGATGAATAGTCAAACGTGGGAGCCTGTGGGAGCCAGGTGGTGCCCACCCCAGGGCATCCACACCAGCTTCAAAAGCCACGATGGGAGCTCTGACCTACCAACAGCATAAACCAAAGTTTGCCAAACAGGCCTCACCTCAGGTCGCCCCGCAGCTGTGTCTACACTGTTAAAGGAAATAGACTTTTAAGAAGCAAAGTGTAGTAGTTGTTAAATTAACATTGCCCCTCTCCCAAGTATCACTGGGCCAAGTACCGAGTAATCACATGGGAATTATCAGCCATCTGACTCGACTTCCTTTGTTAGAAAATAATGACACATTCCGACCCTTCAAAGGGACAAAAAAAAAAAAGCTACAGTTGTATGTTTTAATAAATCCATTCCTTCATTTTAAATGGGCTCATCGAGTTTACTCAAGACTTTTCTTGACCAGACATAACTCAGTCCTGCAGGGGTGGGAAAGCAAAAAGAGCAGCCGGCAAGTCCTCTGTGTCTTAATTTCATCAAGCTTGTCACAGCAGGGAATCTATTATGTTTGGGCGGGAAACCAGGAAGGGCCACGGAACCTACCCAGGGCATCCACAAACCAATCCGAGATCCGAGTGGAAGGTGAGCCCGAGAACAGCAGAGATTCCCCCCGCCCCCCAGCACGTCTCACGCGGGTAGAGGGAGGCTGGCCAAGGCGGAGGACGGTGGCCTGAGCTGATCTGGAAGACAGACACCAGCCAGAGAAAGGGCTTTTTTCACCGTTTTAGACCCAAAGAAGGGGAAGTCAGAGCACCGAGAATGTTCTGTTCTTTTTTTATGGAACCACTTTCCTCTTACTGTTTGAGATGAGCAGTGGCTGTTCAAACTGAAAAAGTGGTTAAAAAATTCCAAATGCAGTTATACTGATTAGTAACTATTTCACAGAAATATATTCTTACTCTCAGACTGTTTAAATAAGCAGAAACGAGATGTTGGGGAGAAAGCAGCAGAAAACAAGACAGGAAAAGCCGGGGGGTTGGGGTTTTTTTTTTTCTTCTTTTTTAAAATATATAATGAAGTTTAAAGGGAAAACGACCAAACCTCAAAACCAACATTGCTGGAAGCAATATTAAAAGGACACAAATCTAAAATCATGCTACAAAAATAGTGTTATCTTGTTTAACTAAATGTACATCTTTTTTTTTTTTCAATTCCATGATTGACAAGAGTGTTCATGTGACTGACACACGGAAGGCACCAAAGGTGAAGTGATTATTATTTGTCTTAAAATATACAAAGACATAATTACCTACTTTGGGAAAAGAAAAAATACACTCATACCTATAATAAATAGTTAAATGTTTTTGCCACGGGTTCCTGAACCCCTACAAATTTCAACATATACAAATAGTTTCGACCCCTAGCATTCTTTTAGAGGAAACTACATCAGAATCAAGTTATGAAAAGCACTGGTTTTATGCACATACGTCAGTTTCATCATGAGGCAGGATTTGAAAACTCGGTTTTAAACAGGTTACGGAGTGACAGCTGGAAGCAGGTGAGAGGCCTTAGCGGCCTGGGCCAATCCCGGGAGGCGGCACAGGCATCCTGCCCTCCCACTCCCCCAGGAACCCTTGGACCAGCCAGTTCTCCCTCCAAGCACTGAGTATCTGCCTTCCTCACATCTGCAGAAAGGAGAACACAGCTGAAACTTGCAAAATCAATTCTGGAACACGCAGGAAAGCAAAACGGCCCACGAAGGGAAGCAGCCAGACCTGGCCCTGCCTGCGTGGACACCAGGCCCCCATGCTGTCCTCGTTTCCTGACCGTCCCTTCAGGTGGCTTTCCTGATAAAAGGGGTGCTTCCTACCGGGTTTCAGCAGTGTCCTCCAAAGACGACTCAGATTGGATAGTCCCAGGCTATTTACTGAAACCCGTACAAACCACTGTCAGATCAACTGTGTCACGCGTTCTCTCCTCTGAGGTGCAGTTATGAAAAGAAACTTTGGGCCTCTCCCTAATCCCACCAACAAAGCTGATTAAGGTCATTTGAGACAAGTTCCTACTCTAAATTAGAACCATGAAAGTTCTGATGTAGCTCACTAGAGTCCAGGCTATTAACCCCTTAATGAAGGCTCTCGGCCTTGTGTGGAATGCATCCCAAAGAAAACACAACACTCCAGGGTGTCTAGATAGCAAGTCACCCAAATTAAAGTCTTGGCATAAAAACTAGACAACAAACTAACTCTGTGAAAAAGATAGACAATTCAAGGATCCATAAACTAAACTTTATTCTAGGCAAGTTGCCACTGATTTACTCAGTGGACTTACGGGTAATTTTTTTTCTTTACTTTTATGTTTATAGAATAATAAAAACTAGAAAGGAAAAAATAAATCCCCAAGGTTGAGAAATTATATCCAAATGGAAAAAGAATCTAGACCAAAGGAAGGGAAACTATATCAGACCCCACCCCTCTGTGTCAAGCCTAAAAGTATATAAATGCCATTTACTGGTGTGAAGAAAAGTTAAACATTCAGCTTTGAGAAGAAAATTCTTCTAGATCTAACAGATATCGAGGGTATTTTCTTTCAGAGACAGTTTCTAAATAAAAGAAATGTAAAGAGCCAGATATTTCAAATTACCTTCTCAACCAGACAGTTATGACTTCAGCGATATCTGCTGAGAAGAGAAGAAATAGGAGATTTTATAAAGAGCCAGGAGCGTTTACAAAGCTCACGGCAGGCGGTGTTAGGCCTGCATCCTCTCTGAGGGGCACCCAAATCAGAATCCGAGTCACCTGTCCAGACCTGTGAGTCCCCAAACTCACACTAAGAGC